AAACAAAACAAAGTACTTTTTACCCTCTACGTGCTATGAGGCCAGGGCAGGGTACATTCCAGAAAACTCTGACTCATGTAGTGTTGCTAAGATGTTGTGAGACTGTAGAAGAAGGCAGGGCCCAGGGTGGCTTCTGGGGAGGTGAGATTGATTTGGAAACAGTTGGAAAGGATAAGAATGTTGGCATGTATGATGAGGTTCCTACTGATGAAAAATAAACAATTTGAGCCCTGGTTGGTGTGGCTTAGTTGGTTGGGCGTCATCCCATGCACCGAAAGGTCACTGGTTCTATTCCCAGTCAGGTCACATGACCAGGTTGCAGGCTCAATCCCCAGTAGGAGGTGTGCAGGAGGCAGCCAATCCATGTTTCTCTTTCACATCAATGTTTCTCCCCTCTCCCTTCCCTTCCTCTCTCTAAAATCAATAAAACCATTTTTTAAAAAGAAAGAAACAGTTTAAGCAAATGCTGCAAGTACATTTCCTACAGATATGACTCCAGGATTATAGGATTTTATGCAAGGGAGATTGGGAGAGGTCACTGAAGATGAGTTTAGAATAGTTTTAGAGCTGAATACTTTAAAATTCAGGATGCCAGCCTGGAGAGCCTTTTACTTGACTATCTGAGGAGCTATTTGGTTGACTATTACATTTGTGATTACATTTCTTATATTATAAATGTATTTAGCCTTCATTTCTTCATCCATTCAACACTAAAACATTGTGCATCTATGTCCGTATGTGAAAATCAATCTAATGATATTATTTAACCAGGAAGATTACCCTAAAATTTAAATTCCAATCAATAAATAATTGCCATCTGGTTTTAATAAAATAAACTGAGTCCAAGAAAAGTAAGAATTGATATATATTAAATAAAATTTGCTCAGCCAGCGTGGCTCAGTGGTTGAGCATTGACCTATGAACCAAAAATTCATGGTTCAATTCCTGGTCGGAGCACATGCCCGGGTTGTGGGCTCAATCCCCAGTAGGGGGCATGCAGGAGGCAGCCAATCAATGATTCTCTCTTATCATTGATGTTTCTATCTCTCTCTCCTTTTCCCTTCCTCTTTGAAATCAATAAAATAAAAATAAAATTGAGCCCTAGCCAGCTTGGCTCAGTGGATAGAGCATCAGCCTGGGGACTGAAGGGTCCCAGGTTCGATTCTGGCGAAGGGCACATGCCTGGGTTGCAGGCTCGATCCCCAGTAGGGGGTGTGCAGGAGGCAGCCGATCAATGATTCTCATCATTGATGTTTCTATCTCTCTCTCCTTCTCCCTTCCTCTCTGAAATAAATAAATATTTTAAAAATAAAATAAAATAAAATTGAATTGATGCCCCAGTGCTGATATTTAACAACACAACTCATAAATTTGCCTATTTATTAAGACAATTATTATTTGGAAGACAAATCTCCAGATGCATATATGACTACAACATCTTACTTACATTTTGACATGGATTCACTTTGGTTTGAAGAAACTGTGCTGCAGGTCAGAAAAGTAGTGTTTCTCCCTGCCCTTAGACGCAGCGCCCTCACCACTTATAGTGGCGTTCAGTAAGACAGCTTGCATCAAGCATGTCAAACTCGCAGCCCGCGGGCCACATGCCTCGTTTATTTGGCCTGTGTTAGCCTTTGAGTTTGACATGCTTGGCTTACCTGGATGCCATGCTCTCCTAGTTGGTTTCCAGTAGAGCTGTCAAGATAACTTATTTTTCTACTAACATTAATCCCAGCACTTTAGAGGCTGTGATTAGCCAATGGAATGACTACCTGGAATGGAAAAACCAGTTGGAGCAGTGGATGGAATCCGTGGACCAAAAAGTGGAGCATCCCTTGAAACCGCAGCCAGGTCTGAAAGAGAAGTTTTGCCTTCTGGACCACTTCCAGTGCATCGTCTCGGAGGGGGAGGATCACGCCGCAGCCCTGCACCGCCTCACTGCCAGGTCCAGGGAGCTCTACCAGAAGACGGAGGATGCGTCTTTCACGGAGACGGCTCAAGAGGAGCTGAAAACACAGTTTAATGATATAATGACCGTTGCCAAGGTTAGTGCTTTATATTGAAGGAAAAACTTCAGGGTCAGGTAAAGAATAGCTTATGGGTTACATTATTGGAGAATTTGCTGCTCTAAAAACTATTTGTACAATATTATATAAAGATAATTTCTCACCTATGGATGCCCATGCATTTTTCATTTCTGCAATCTTGGGTTTATTTTTTATTCTTAATTTTATGATTTTTCTCCACTTAGAATGTTAGTCAACCCATTTTCTTTCTTTTTTTGGTTTTTTCTTCTGCAAAATTGCTGAGCTTCAAATATCAGTGTTTAAAAGTTCTTTACAAAAAGCCAACACAAGTCATTTATTTAATAAGAGTTATTATAATAATAATTATTAAGTGGATAATTAGTGAGGGATGTTAGTCAACATTCATTAAGCATAGATTTTTATGTGAAGCTAGACATAAGTAAAATTATAGGAAAATTGGTTTTATCCTCGAAGTCTTTTAGTATAATTGAGATTTGATATTTTCATTTTAAGATATTAAACACAGAGAAAATTCAAGAATAAGAATGAAGCCCTGGACGGTTTTTCTCAGTGGTTAGAGCACCAAAAGATCACTGGTTTGATTCCCAGTCAAGGGCACATACCTTGGTTGTAGGCTCAATCTCTAACCCCGTGTGGGAGGCAACCAATCGATGTGTCTCTCTCACATTGGCCTCTCTCTCTCTCTCTCAAGCTCTCTCTCTCTCTCTCTCTCTCTCTGTCTCTCTCTCTCTCTCTTTCTCTCTCTCTCTGTCTCTCCCCCCCCCACCTCCATCCCTTCTACTCTCTCTAAAAATCAATGGAAAATTTTCCTCAGATGAGGATTTAAAAAGAATAAGAACAACGTCTTCTGAGATCATTAAGAGACCAATATCAGACTGTTGTCGTGTCTGATTTCACATCCTCTGTCGTGAGGGCCCCTGAGTCGCCTCTGCTTGTTTCCTAGGAGAAAATGCGGAGCGCGGAGGAGATGGTGAAGGACCACCTCCTGTATGTGGACGCCGTGCAGGAGTTCACAGACTGGCTCCACTCGGCCAAGGAGGAGCTTCACCGCTGGTCGGACCCATCTGGAGACTCGTCCGCCACCCAGAAAAAGTTGTCCAAAATTAAGGTCAGAAAGTGGACCGATACCGTAACTTCTCTCTCTCACTGGTGCTCGAGTCTGACATGCCTGTGATAAAGATCCTATAGATTAGATTGTGTCATTAAATGTTTCCTTCCCTGTTTTCTGGGTGGGTTGGTGTATATGACCTTGCACCCTCGGGAATTCTAAACATAAACAAGAGGGGGGAAAGGAATTCAAGACACTTTACACTTTGCACAAAATGAAACGTTGTCCGTGTGTAGTGTGCTCCTGCATGCAAATGCGCTGCTTGCTGCGGTATGAGACATCCCAGTATGCGCCAGCTTGGAGCTGACAGAATCGGATATTACTTCCCAGCACAGTAGAAGAAAAGTTTATATAATAACTTAGTGAAAAGTTTAATAAGAACTTGGAAATGTCATTCTAGATGTTTTGTTCTGCTTTCCCAGCCAACAGTACAACAGTATTATGAAAGACGGTACTTTAAAGGATATTAAAATTATCATCTATAAGGGCAACTTAAAGCAAAAAATTTCACACCACTCAGAGAACTAGAGATCTTTGTGTATTTTGGTTCTTTCTCGTGCTTGATAATACATGGCAATGATTTGCTCCTGTGAAACAGTAGATTTTATTCTAAAATAGCATGATGAATCTGATG